GGTACAACGTGCTATAACACGAATAACCTTTACACCCATTTGGGAGAGTAGGCAGAAGCTTGGTAGGTTTTGTCACATTCCTAGAGAATAGATTATCATGTGTGGTTGAGCAAGTTGTTTACTCAACAAATAATGGTAGATGGAAAGAACTGAAAACCCATCCTGATGCTCTGGTCCATGGATAGCTGCCCCTGGAGGAGCAGACAGGATTTAATAATTCCAACTAACACTCAGGCATTAGATTCTGAGCATGTGAGCTAAAGGAAACTACCTCCAGCTCCTGACACTGTATTCTGCCATCTCTGGTCCTGTTCTTTTTCCCTAGCCCCATGGCCTGTTTCTTGCTCCCTTGCTTCCTTAGAGAAAGAGCTGATAGATTGGAAGAGAGAAGGACTAAAGGAGGGAAGAAAACTAATTAGAAAGAAAGTTGGAAGAGTAAGATGTTTTTATTGTAAAATACAGATAACATAAAGTTGAGTATTCATGATTTATATACTCATAATATTACATAACCACAACAATGAATTTTTCTATCCCCAGAGAGAAACCATTTACCCTTTCTCCCTTGGCAAACCTTAGTGTATTTCTATCTCTGTGGCTTTGCTGTTCTGGATGTTTTCTCAACATACAATGATGCAACATGTGGCTTTTTTTGTCTGACATATTGTTACTTAGTATAGCATGTTAATGGCTTATCTATATTATAGCATGAATTACTGTTCTATTTTTTCTTTTCCTTGCCTTTCCTTTTCTCTCTTTCCTTCCTTCTTTCTTTTCTTTCCTCCTTCCTTCCTCTTTTTTTCTCTCTCTCTTTCTTTCTCTTTCTTCCTTTCTCTCTCTCCCTTCCTTCCTTCCTTCCTTCTTTTCTTTTCTTTTTGCCACTAGTAGAGTTTGAACTCAAGGCATTTTACTTTAGTTCCAGCTTTTTCACCCAAGATTTTCATGTATTTGTCTTCAGATTTCAGCCTTCTGAGTAGCTAAGGGTTACAGGTATTAATCATTGGCACCTGGTTTTTCTATTTCTTTTAATTTCTGAATACAATCCATTGTATGTGTGTACCACATTTTATTTATCCATCCACCCATGGATCAGAAATTGGCTTACTTCTACTTGTTGACCTTATAAATAGTGTTACCATGAACCTGTTTCAAGTTTCCTGCTTAGATTTTATCGTAATGCTTGTTTACAGTTTATGAGGTGCTACCAATTTGTCTCCATAGCATTTGCTTCTTGATTTGTTTGAGGTCAACTAGCAGAATGAATCTCTTTCTAAGAGAGAAGAGGATGCCACATGCCATTGGCTCACACTTGTAATCCTAACCACTCAGGAAGATTAGATCTGTGGATCACAGTTCAAAACTCACCCAGGCAGGAAAGTCTGTGAGACACTTACTACCAAAATGGTTCGAAAAGTAGAGTGCTAGCCTTGAGCAAAAAAGCCCAGGTCCTGAGTTCAAGTTCCAGGACCAGCACCATCTCCCCAAAAGATGGAGAGGGAGAGAGAGAGAGAGAGAGAGAGAGAGAGAGAGAGAGAGAGAGAGAAACTTTAGTTGCCACTGGAGATGGAGGCAGTCAGGTGGCAGGCAGGGAAGCAGACTCACCTGACATGGAGTCTGTCCTCACTAGTGACAGAATTAAGAAATAGGCCATGTTGTCCTGGTGTGCCTTCTTCTTCCCATTTTTTGGTGTATCTTAGCATTCCTGGGCCCTGTATTTCAAGTACCTCTATGAAAGGTCCTGAATTTTGTAGCTAAAGAAGACCAGTGAGAAGTTACTAAATCTTCCTTGATCAAAGTGTCTTCTTACGGGGCTGGGAAGGTGGCTCAGTGGTAGAGCGCTTGCCTTGCATGCATGAGGCCCTGGGTTTGATTCCTCAGCACCACATACGCAGAAAAAGCTTGGGGTGGGACTGAGGCTCAAGTGGTAGAGGGCTAGTCTACAGCTGAAGAGCTGAAGGACAGCACCCAGGCCCAGAATTCAGGCACCACGACTGACAAAAAAAAAGAAAAAACAAACAAAACAAAGTGTCCTCTTATGGAAACTAGGGCTTGTTCTGAGCTCACAGGGTTATTTATTATCTAGCTATCTATATCTACTTGAATGTATTTATTCTTACAGGGTTATTTAGATAAAGGAGGCAGAGTGTTTCTAAAGAGGTAGCACTATGCAATTGGGAAAAAAGTCAGGCCCCTCTTGGTTCCTTTGTAAGTGGGGCCCAGGGGTTTGAAGGTCCCTGTCCACTCCCAGCCCTTAGAGGGGCACTCCTCACTGCCTGTCCTTCTCCACAGAACCTGTCAGTCAGCACCTCAGGGTGTTCACTTTCCCTGCAGGTGTTGCTTGGGTAGTCTTGGAAACAGAGAAGCAACAATTGCTAGTGACATTTTCAGTGTGAAGAGGAGTTGGAGGGGAAGTGGAGGGAAGGGCTCTGGGCTTGCCTGAGCCTCACCTCATAGGAAGCAGAGAGCCTGGGGAAGTCTGATTTCCCTGAGCCCCCACTCAGGGGGATCCCCATCCATGGAGCACCCCTGGTGATGTGTAGCTCCTTCATGTAGTGCTGGGTGTGTTAGTGGTGATCTGCACAGCATCTTCCCCATTTCCTGTAACCAGGCTGCCTGAGTCTTCTTCTTCCTGCCCCTCCTCCAGTCACGTGCTTGCCTTGTGGTTGAGTTAGCACTGTCTTTGAAGTGTTTTGACCTTGAGGTAGAAGGGCTGTTTTCACTGTACCTTTGGGTCCCCCTGTCTGAAATCCATTTCTGGCCATATGAGTGTTTTTGTTGTTGTTTGTTTGTTTGGTGAGGAAAGGGTGTGTATTAGAGCTTGAACTCAAGAATTTGCATTTGCTAGGCCAATGCTCTACCATCTGAGAGCCCCAAACTCAGCCCTGTTTTGCTTTATATTCCTCCTTCTCCACCACCAGTACCAGGGCTCAAACTTAGAGCCTCATATCCCCTTGACTTTCTTGCCCATGACTGGTGCTCTACCACTTGAGCCATACCCCCAGTCCCACTTTTTGCTGGCTAGCTTGAGATGGAGTTTTGAATATTTTTTGCAGGGCTCAGTTTGAATGGCAATCCTCCAGGTTTCAGCCTTCTGAGTAGCTAGGACAGCCAGTGTGAGCCATTAGCACCTGACTTCACTCCCTCAACTCTGTACTAACATGAGCCTCTGTCTTGTTTGTATTCTGGTATCTTCCGGTCCAGGGGAAGCCCGGGCAATGTGTATGCTTGTGTTTAATGGGATGTTTTCTGTGGGTGAGAAGGCAGTCTGGCAAAATCCTGCAGTGCTTTTGGCCTGGCTTCTATGCACTTAGGTCACTTGCTTATTTCAAAAACCATCTTTTACCTGGGATCAAAGGCAGTGCTGCAGGTTGGCAGGTGCAGATGGAGAAGACAGAGACATCGAGGGCAAAGGGGAAAGCTTTGAACGCAGTTGTGAAAATTCACAATGAAACATGTACCACAGCTCAACAGAGGGCCAGCAGGAAGCTGTGTTTACTCCAAATCCTTGGAGCAGCTAGGATTTACTCCTTGCCCCCTGATAATAGGCAGGCCGCCGCATGAGACAGAGACACACATGGTGCTGCTGGCTTCCCAAAGCAAGACAGAGCAAGCCTCTACAGCTCCCATAAGCAGTGGTCACTAGTGACCCATAGTGACCCATCTCTCTGGTCATAGCTCCAGGATGCTGGGGAAACTGGTAACCTTTCATGTTTCTTACAGTCTTCCACTTTGCTGAGAAATTCCTGTCATTCTCCTGTGGCTGGAATTCTTACTTGGATCAATTCGATTTCTTCAAAATGCACAGCAATCATGTAGGCTGATTTGAAGCTTCTGTCCTTATTTTTAAATGTTCTGTAGCTAAGAACTTTTGGTTTCAAGTTTACTGGAGAAATTTTAGACGGAATAGATAAGTAGAAAGAAGAGACTTAAAAGCCACCCCTAATTCCCCCATCCAGGAATCCTAGATGCTGTTTTCATATAGGTCCATTTTTATTTTATTTATTTATTTATTTTGTTGTACTGGTTCTGGTACTTGATCTCAGAGCCTGGGTGCTGTCCCTGAGCTTTTGTGCTCAAAGCTCGCCCTCTACCACTTGAGCTACAGCTCTACTTCTGGCTTTTGGGTGCATAACTGGAAATAAACATTTCACAACCTTTCCTGCCCAGGCTGGATTAGAACCATGATCCACAGGTCTCATCCTCCTGAGTAGCTAGTATTACAGGTGTGAGCCACCGGTGCCCAGTTTAACACAGATCAATTTTACATCTATTTTTCTGACTTGCAGATTTTTTTCTCTGAATTTTTTTTCTTAAGGATCATATTAAATAATGCATGGCTAAAAGATTCAACCTGTAAAAATAAAAAAAATTGCATACATCAGTGAGACCGTGTCTAATGTGATGCCGAATCCCTAGTTCTCTTTGCTAGAGTGCTTTGGACATTTGATGGATCCCCGCACACCCTGCCCCTCACCCAGTTCTTCATGGACCCAAGGCCTGATGATGGATGTTTTGCATTTCTCTCTGCCTTGACTTGCATTAATTACTTCTGCTCGCTTTGCACAGCGGGCCTGGGGCTTCTGCTGCTGTACTCCAGGGGCCTGTGGATTCTCCACCACAGATTTCCTAGAGGGGTATGTGGAGTGACAGGGGCCCCTGGCAAGCACAGTCCCCCACCCTGCCATGATTGATTTTCCAGAGTCCAGCAATGTGGAGGAAGCCTAGCTCTGTTCTCTGCCTACCATTTCTCTCTGTGCGCTAGGGAGCTGTTCCTTCTGTGAGGGGCTCGTGCAGAAACAAGTGTTCCTCATAGTGCCTGTGTGTGGCACCTCTGAGCTCACACCTGGGTCACCTTGAGCTGCCCCCAGGGAGTCCATGAGCCGTGTTATACCCTAGCATCAAACAATTACAGGGTGGCTTTATGAGTCTCTGACTTTCTGGTTTAAAATCAGTTGTTAAAATGCCCAATGTGTGTGACCTTTCCTTTCCTCTCCATCAGAAGCCTGGAATGGTACCCCCTCCGCCGGGAGAGGAGAGCCAGACCGTCGTCCTTCCTCCTGGCTGGCAGAGCTACTTGTCTCCTCAGGGCCGGCGTTACTATGTCAACACGGCCACCAATGGTGAGTCTCTCTGGAAGAGCAGCCTGCTCCGGTCCTCAGTGTCTGTCTCTCTGAAGGGATGCTTTTCTTCTCCTCCCTCCACTCCATGGCTTAGGGACATTTTCTTGAGGAATCTTTGCCCTGGAGCTTTGATGGAGTTCTGGTTGGGCCCCATGGCTATGTGGTAGGGATCAGACTTAAGTCTGTAGTGATAGGAGAGGATCAGGAGGAAGGCTGAGCACCAAGGTTCACACCATCCCTGGACCCTCAAGCACCCTGAGCATCTTTGTCAAACCAACTGCAAGGTCTGGGAGCTGTGTTCTCCAAAAGAGATTCTGAAAGGTTTTCTGAGGGGATCTCAGAACTGGCTTATCTTACGCTATAGCACATTTTCTTGTGCTTTAATGATCTTTTAGCTTCCAGTGAGGGCTGAGCAGTACACAGTCTCCTTAATTTCACTGTGATACCTTTTTCTCTTTCCTGAAGCATCTCCCTGACTACGTTTCTCCGCATGCCCTAGAGGATATGATGGAGCTTCATGAGGATGAATGACATCAGCTAGCACAGTGTTGGCCTGTGTTTCAGAGCTGAGTAGGAATGCAGCTCCATGCCTCTAATTATTGTGGACTTCCTGGGTCTTTCTATTCACTCCCGGATGCCAGATAGGGGGTCCAGTAGGTACATTATACCCCAAGGTGAGCAGGACACTGCTGAAGAGGTGGTCATGGGTAGGACAGTAAAGATTCCTGGAGAAGGAGCCACATGACTCTCCAAGGAGGACTTTAAACTTTATCACCAGAGGACCAAGAGAAGCAACATAAACCAAACGTGATATTGTACCCGAACCCACTTGTTGGCTCAATCTTGGTTTCTCTCATTCCTCATCTATGTCTGTCTGACTGCCTGGCCACCTCTCACTCCTTGCAGGTTGGGATGTATGGGGGGTTATGGTGCCATTAATATGGCTTGTGATTTTGAGCCTGCCCTAGGAAAAAGGCTCTTGGTTTGGTGACAAAGAAGCAGCTGCTATTAGAGGAGACGCAAAGAAACTGACATCTGCCGCTCTGCGTGGCTGGTTACTCCGTACCCCTGGCCATAGATCCACTGGGGTGTTCTGGTTAAAGAGGCAAGCACAGCTTCTAGGAAAGAGGAAGTAGACCTAATTCTAACCGTCCTTATCTCACGCTTCCTCAAAAGAAACAAATGCGGCTCTGCCCTGTTATCGGAGACTTGGCTTTTTTTTTTTTTTTTCCAGAGGATCATGTGTGAACGCAGTTCCCCATCTGTACTGTGCAGAATTTGGATGCAGGATCCTGACATCATCAGCAACATGAATCTGTTCTTCTCCCCAAAATAGCTACTCTGTTGCAAAGAGGAAAGGGAGGGGAGGAGTTTTCTGAAATCCGCATTTTTGTCTACCTTTCTAAAAGAAAGAAAGAATTAAAGGAAAGAAAAAAACAAGGAAAGAAATAGCCAGGCATCAGTGGATCACACCTGTAATTCGAGCTACTCAGGAAGCTGAGATCCACAGGATGGAGGCTCAAGGCCAGCCAAGGAGGAAAAAAAAAAAAAAAAACAATCAAGCAAAAAACATCCTGGAGGCTCCATCTCCAATATAACCAGCAAAAAAGCAGGGCTGAGGGCATGGCACAAATGATAGACTAACACTGAGCAACCAAGCCCAAAGCCCTGAATTCAAATCCCTGTACCATCCCCCTACCAAAAAAAAAAAGAAGAAGAAGGAAGGAAAGGAAGGGAAGGAAGGGAAGGAAGGAAGGAAGGGAAGGGAAAGGAAGGGAAGGGAAGGGAAGAAGGGATAAATAATATACTATCAAGGTAAAAATTTAATGAGTGTAAATGGGATTCAAATCCCATTCCCAGAGCTGTTTATCATATACAACCTTCCAAATAGTTGTATTCCTTCACTTCTAAACATAGGTATACTTATTCTTTTACAGTGAAAACTCCTATCTGTATTTTTCTTTAAATTACTTCAACAATACCTTGTACATTTCAGCCTTACCTACTCCTCTGGTTTTTTGTTTTGTTTTGTTTTGTCTTGTGCCAGTTCTGGGGGGTTGAACTCAAGGCCTGGGGGCTGACCCCGAGCTTAGTACTCTACCATTTGAGCCATATCTCTACCTCCAGCTTTTTCTGTGATTAATTGAAGATTAGAGTCTCATGGACTTTCCTGCCCAGGCTGGTTTCAAACCACAATCCTCAGAGTTGGCCCTCCTGAGAGGACTAGATTACTGGTGTGAGCCACCAGCACTTGGCTTTACCTATTCCTCTTAATAGCAATGTGATAGCGATAAACATACAACTATTCACTTAACCAGCAATCTATTCATTAATGGATATTTAAGCCACATTTTGCACCAATGACATCTGATAGTTTTTTTCCTAGGGCTCTGCCTTTAGTATATACCTACCAAGTCAGAGCTTCCTTACAGGTTTTGAGATCCTATGATCCCAGAGATGCTCCACATTTTACAGGCTTTTTTCTGCAGGACCAGGAAGTAGATGCTTTAGGCTTAGAAGATGTAGGGTCTCTGTCACCACTGCTCAGTGTCATTCTGATAGCCAGAGAGCTTCCAAAGACTAACCAATAAGTGTAGCTGTGTTCCAATAACACTTTATCAATGGATGCTGAAATGTGAATGTTGAGGAGAAAGAGAGGTGGTACTGGGAATTGAACCCAGGGCTCCAGCTTGCTAGGTAGGTGTACTCTACCCCGCAAGTAATTTTTATGTGTTTTGAAGTGTCATTTCATTTTTTTGGTTGGTCATGGGGCTTGAACTCTGGGCCTGGGCATTGTCCCTGAGCTTTTCAGCTCAAGACAAGTGCTCTTTTACTTGAGTCACAGTGCCACTTCTGGTTTTCTGGTGGTTAATTGGAGATAAGCATCTCATGGACTTTCCGGCTTTGAACTGTGATCCTTAGATCTCAGCCTCCTGAGTAGCTAGAATTACAGACATGAGCCACCTGTGCCCAGCTTCACTTGATTTTTTTTAACTTTGTTTTCAACCATTATAAAATGCAAAAGATGTCAGGTAAGATTGGGCACACCTGTAATCCCAGCACTCAGGAGACTGAGACAGGAGGCTGAGAGACTTGGCTACATGAGAGTCCCTGTCTCCAAGAAAGAAAAGAAAAAGAAGCAAAAGATAAATGTAGTCTACAAGTTCCTGGGTGGTGGGATTGGCCTACCTGCTCAGCTAGGTTAGTGTCAAATCCAGCAGAATTGGCCCTGTTTCCTTTTCCTCATGGCTTTGGTAATCCTGGCTCTCTGATCTCCATCCTAGATGTGTGCCAGCCTTGTCCACCATGTAGTTGTTCAGTCCATTGTGTTTTCATTTGTTTGTTTAGTTGATTGAGCCGCCGTACACTCAATACTTACTTACTGAATCTCAAATTTATATCTGGCAGTGTACTTTCAAATTGTTTATTTTCTTATAATGAAAGCAGATTTCATTCTTTCAAGGTAAACAGGGTGAGTTTATTAGAAAAGAAAGGAAACCTGTGAAAGAAAGTAGTAAAATTCTCCTGGAGGGGCCCCAAGAGGAGTCCAGTGGATTCCTCCTGGAGAATGATAGCCTTGTGGTAACAGGGCTCCTCCCCGTGTCTTTCCTCTGATTGCCTGATGGCCTATGGAAGCAGATTTTAAAGTTGTTGGGGGGAGGGGGTGCTGGAGCCCAGGAACTTCTTTTATTTTTGTAATACCAGGAGTTGAACACAAGATCTCAGGCTTAGTAGGCAGGCATTCTAGGGCTGAGCCACAAGACACACTTCTGGTCCTTTTTTAAACTAGTCACTTTGGTGATAAAAGCCTTGATTCATGCCTTGTACGCTTATTCCTAGACTGCAATCCACCTCTTTTAGGTTTCCTGTGTAGCTAGGAAGACAGGCAAGCATCATCCTACCCAATGTTTGGTTGCCAGTATGTCTCACAAATCCTTCTCCCCAGGCTGGCCTCCTACTGAGAGCCTCCTGATTTCAGTATTATCAAGTTGCTAGGATCACAAGCAGGGGCCCCTACCACCCAGCTAAAACCCAAGATGGTATGCACACTGGGCAAGCACTCTACCTCTGAGCCACAACCCCAACCCAGAAATGGATTTGCATAAACACCTGTTTGATTACAGTCGCAAGAAGTCTATGAAGGATAAGTCTGAGGGTGTTTGAAGATGATGCCAGAGAGCTTGTGGAATCAGGAAAGCTTCCTGGAGGAAGGGGCCTTTCTGGAGTGATTGGGAGAGGCATGGCTGACCATAGTCCCCACACAATCCTTGAACATTGTGTCTAGGATTTTACTCTTTGGGTTTCAGGAAGGAGTAAACATCTGTCTTTCTCCTTCAGCATCTTCTCTGAGACCTATTTTGTTTGGCTACTGGTCTGTTTTTACGCTTTTGGAGTCTGATGATCTTTCTACCTGTTTCTTATATTTGCATTCATCTCATCTCCTGGCCTCTGAGCTTGGGCCTCACTGCTGGACCAGCTGCCTCCCCAACTTTCTGACTCAACTCTGGAGTATTTTGTGCCGGTTTCCTCTTTCCAGGCAGCAGTTCATCACCGCGCCGTCCCACCTGGCCACCCATTGCCACAAACCACCACGGTCCACTCCCTCATCACCTTGGTCCTTCCTTCTGCCCAATGCAGATGCCCCTGGCATGGGCAGGAGGCAGATTCCAGACCCCTAGATAAGAATCCTCTTGGATGCTCCAGCCTCTTACATAAGAGGGCACAGCTTTGGCATAGAACCCACTCACATCCGCCCATATGTTTTCCATCATTTCTAGATGACTTAGAAACACCTAACACGATGTCAGTACTGGGTAAATAGCTGTTATACTCTATTGTCTAGGGAATAATGACTAGGAAAAAAAGTCTGCTAGAGTTCACTTCCCCTGAACATTTTCAATCCTCTGAGGCTGGTAGAATCCGCCAGCACAGAAACCACAGATATAGGAGAACCTGTGTTCTCTCTTGTTACCCCTCCCTCTGTAATCCCCAGTCTCTTC